CCCCAAAACCCCAAAACCCCAAAACCCCAAAACCCCAATTCATTCAACGTGAATTGGAAGAATTTTCTGGAAATGGAGGTGATTATTTATACAAAATGTGTTATTAAAGTAGATAATGACCAAAAACTAGAAGGGATAAATTGAAGACTCAAATGAGCAATCGGAGTCATGCACACTTGATAGACTTCAAATTACCTTAGTACTGTCATCATAGATAGATTTTTGATAAGATCTAAAATAGAAGAAACCATGATCGAAGGCTTTTTCGACAGAAAGCCTGGGACCTTTTGAGTCTCCTCAACATTTATTGATGAAATCAAGTGTAATTTCATCCTTTTGGCTACAAATTTTGGATGTAACCACTCCAATGCTGTGAAGATCATCCTTGATGCTTTGACGGGTGACTCTTGAATTTGAACTGTAGTCTATAAATTTCGATTTTAGGCCTTTAAATTGATAAGGCAGGTCGAAATTTTCTAACTTAATCTCAAGTGAATCGGGGTCAATTTTTATATTATTTACCGAAATATTATTTTTGTAAAATCCTAGTGAATTGAGATATTTCACACAATCCAAAAGTTGGTGAATAATCATTGTAGCACATTCATCACTTCATTTATTTTCAAATATGAAATCTTTCAAGTATATTCCCTCTGAAAATTCAGTAACAATATAGAGATAATCTTCGTCTCTGAAATACTCTTCTACTCCACAAATATTAGGATGGTCAATTTTTTGTTGTCGTCTGAGGACGTCCATGTAGTCTTCTGCTTCAGAATTAATTGACTCCCATTCTAGGCTTCTGATAAAGACTTTTCTGTCAGTATTGGATAAGTCAAAGCCCTCTCTAATGATTGTAGAGAAGCTTAGACCAATTATTTTCCCAAGTTTATAAGATTTGTTAATTGGGTCTCTTCTAATATTGAACCGTTCTGCAAAGTTAGAGAGATCAGTATCATCAGAAATAGAGGAGGTTGATAGAGACTCCTTTTTATCATATATATTCTTCTCCCTCCATATTGGAGTTTCACCTCCAGGTAATAGACGCTTGGCGCCGTGATTGGTATTTCCAGGCCTCCCACTAGAAAAAGTGATCTGGTCAGAAGTTTTATTTCAACTACAAATAGCAGCTCCCATTTCTTGGTTAATTAAAAGAATGATATTTTCATGCATAATATATTATATCGGGGTTTTGGGGTTTTGGGGTTTTGGGGTTTTGGGG